GGGCAGCCAAACCAAAACGTGGCACAAATCCATGAAGTCGTTAACAGTAGTAGCCGATGATTAGAGACTTCGGATGACATCGCTCATAGTCGTTTGCAATGGTGCAGGTGCACCCACTCCTTGTCTTGTGAATTCCTCATGACTTCTACCTTTCTTCTCCCTTATAATTTACTTCACTGGATTATACTTTTTGGAATCATGTCTTCGAACTCTAATCTTCTCCATTACTGCTAATGTTCCCACTACCTCTACTACTATGGGATTGGAACTGACAATAGTGTTTCTGTGCTGCTAATATGGTATAGTGACTTGAAATGATTTAAACATGAGCACGAAGTTCTACGTTGCTTCTGACTGACTAGCAAATTGTATTATATGTCACAAGTTGAATTAATTAAACGTTATGCTCACTATGTAGCGATGTCAAACCAATGGTTACCTTAATCAATAGAATCCAATCAACGATAAGGAATTAACAAATCTGACATTGGTCCATACTCAGTTGATTATACATATTCCTGTTCTACAGGAGATTGTTCTTCTTCTGAACAACATCAAATTAGGATATTCATTCAATATCCTAAGAGAATTAATTATTGGTCAATTCCTATTGATCAATTCCTACTGGTCAATTTTATGATCGTCCCTAGATATCAATGTCACATACTCCAATGTTGTTTCTTATTGGTCATCCTGACTGTCAATGTCACATCAAATGTTGTTTCCTATTGGTTGTCTTAACTGTCAATGTCATAGACTTCGATACTCTTTCCTATTCGACTTAAATGTATGTAAATACGCATTATCTGTAGAGCTATTCGTTACATTCCTTCCTTCATCTCTACTGCACTCGACCCATTGGACAACTTCATCTAACGGTGTTGTTGTGTTTTGTTATATAGGAGATTTGAGATTAGTATTTGGAGTCTTATTAGAATATCTGAATTTGGACGTAAGTAGTTTCATTATGACACATCATTAGCACAAACTCCAGATAGTAGTGAAGTAGTATGACTCATAGCTTTTTCTGTTAACCTCAATGTTGATTAGTTACTGTTGACCTTAAACCTGTCGTTGTTTAAATCATTTTTTTGATTGTATTCCCCTTTGATCTGTTTCTTGATCCCGTTTGTTCACTTATGATTTTTCTGATTGGTTGATAAATTGTGTCAATTGTCGATGTGTTTATTGATTGCTAATTGACTTGTGAGTGCCAAGCTTCTAAAAAATTCTCTAGTGTTATTTTTATACTCTCTCTCTATCAAGTATTTCAATATTGTTCCAATCGACGGTATATCCACAGTTATCCGTATGTATTGATTATATAAGAGATGAAATATCATGGCATTTGACTGCTAATTGATGTTCATACAAACAAAAACACTGAAGAGGATGTCCATTTTGTCCTATGTAGTGTTTTTTTTCACAATCTGAGCAATTTATTTTGTAGAAAAATCAAATATCATTATTCAGAAGAATAAAGTGAACTCTTCAAAACCAAAATATTCAGCTTAAAGAATGAAACCGCATCACAATATAGCGTATTATATATTCAAGATATATTGATTACACATTGAGCTTATGTAGTAATCAGCTAGATCTAGTCCGCTTAAAGTTCATTTTTATATCATTCGCTTAAAATTAGACTGTTTTTTTTTTCTACCTCTCGTATATATTAGGTGTTTCATCTGTTAACTTACTTGCTTACTTACTTAGGCCTGTTACCCTTAATGGAGTATAGGTCACTGACTAGCATTCTCCAGTCTACTCTATCCTTCTTTTCCAGTTTTACCTAAATGTGGTTAGCGTTTCCTTTAGCGAGTTAAATTTCTACGGTATGGGGTCACCAATCCTACTTCTTTATCCAGGCTTCGGGTTGGCAGTAGCCTCAAAGGGGCTCCTCTTTCCCTTGGGCCTTGAGGGTTCCAAGTGAGGGCTTACCTTGGGAAGCAGTTGGGTGCTTTTCTTAGTATATGTCCTATCCACCTCCAACGCTTCTTCCTAACTGCCTCTTCCGCTTTAGGAATCTGATTTGTTCTCTCCAACTGTAAGTTTTGATATAACAGTTGTTGTGAAATTGTAAAGAAATGATGGAGAAGATTTGTAGCTCCGGTGAATGATTGTGGTGATGATGTTTCATTCTCGAAGCTGGATGCTGTTTTGGTTGTGTGAAGCTTTTTCATTGTTCTTCTACTCAACAACAGCATCATCATCATCAACAACACAAACTTTAGATAGAACAAGTGAAGCATTCGAATTTCTCCACGCGTTTGACCTGTAGCTTGGTTCTGTTAACTTCAGTCAGTCAGTCAGTCAGTTGCAACGTAGAACTTCGTACGTATGTACATCAGTTCATGTCGCCATACCACATCAGCACAGAGATGTAATTGTCAATTCAAATCCAATAGTAGAAGAGGTAGTAAAGGTATGAGAAGTAATCGGAGAGGTTAGGATTAGAAGATATTATTCACGAAGTATGATTAAATGAGAAAAGTTTAGAAAGTCAAAACTGGAATTGTTGAAGAACCCAGAAGATTAGGATTTGAGCGAACACAAAGAATAAATGCACTGGCGCCATTGCGAACGATTTTGAGCCATGTCATTCAAGGTCTCTAACCATCGATTATTATCATCTCGCGGACCCGAACCAGGTAGTCGACAATTACCGATATGGCTAAGTCCACTTGTCAATGACTTCATGGATTTCTGCCATGTTTTGGTCTGGCCGCCCCTAAATTTCTTCCAACCTATTCCTACACTACAAAACAAAGCTCGACGAGGCAGTCGCTGGTTAGGCATACGCAACACGTGTCCCAACCACCTCAACTGATGAAGTTTCACTACTTCATCTATTGATCTGCCATGTCAACAACAACAACAACAACCAATCAAGATCGAGGTTAACAGAACAAGGCTACAACAGGTCAAACACATGGACAAATTCGAATGCTTCACTTGTTCTATCTAAAGTTTGTGCTGTTGATGATGATGATGTTGTTGTTGTTGTTCAATAGAAGAACAATGAAAAAAGCTTCATACAACCAAAACAGCATCCAGCCAATTCAGAGAACCAAACACAATCACCACCACCAGCACCACAATTGTAAAGAAAAATAATTTGATGAAGTCATTTCAGTTAGTTAGTTAGTTACTGCATACTTTTCTCTTCTATAACAGACCAATAAATCATCAAGTGGTCAAATGCCTACACCTCCATGGATGATGACGATTAGCGATAATGAATCATCATTCAGAGATTCGGATGAATTGAATTCGGATCAGAGAAAATTAAAAAAGAACACCACTCCTAATGCGGACAACAATCTACGTCCATGTGTTGATAATTGGAAAATACAAACGTTGTGCAATGCGAAACCATTAAATGAAGTAAAATTCAACATGAATATTTTTTATAATTGATTTTTTAGTTTGTTTTTGCAATTGAATTGATGAATCGATGAGTATTTTCATGATTAGACAGACTAATGTAAGCACTGTTTTGTCCCTACGTGTAGGAGGACTAACTCATCACTGGCAGTTTGTTGCTTCAAGATTGGGTTGTATCGGCACGTGAACTAGTGATAAGGAGTGAAATAGTCGAACGTGTAGACCGCTTCACTTATCTTTGGAGTTTCATCAGTGCTGATGGCCTGGTTTGTGATGAAATCTCAGCGTGGATACAGAAGGCTCGATTGGCTTTTGCCAACCTGCGTCACCTATGGCGTAGGCGAGATATCCGTTTGCTAACCAAAGGACGAGTATACTGTACAGCAGTCCGCTCCGTCCTACTGTACGGATGAGAAACATCGCCGGTGAGAGTAGAGGACATTCGTAGGTTACTAGTCTTCGATCATCGATGTCTCCGAAGCATTGCTCGTGTATCATGGGACAACCGTATAGGCGATGCTGTCGTTAGGAACCGAGTTCTAGGTAGGGATTGCATATCAATAGGTGAAGTATTGAAACTTCATCAGTTGAAGTGGTTGGGACATGTGCTACGTATGACTAACCACCGACTGCATCGACGAGCTATGTTTTGTGGTGTAGGAGTAGATTGGAAGAAAGCCAGAGGTGGCCAAACCAAAACATGGCAGAAATCCATGAAATCACTGACAAGTGGACTGAGCCATTTCAGTGTTCTTTCACATTTAGACTGTTCAGACTTCAGTTCACTTTACGTTACACCTACAAATCGCCTTCTGTTCTCTCATTCTTTCCTTCTCGATCTTGTATGCTGTCAGACGTTTGATTTCCCTTTTTGATATCATATACTACTTAAGTGAACATAAGTAGCGTTGTGATAAACATGATGAAATTTGCTTTTATTTTATTGCAAAATGTGTTTATTTTATTTTGTTTATTGTGCTATAACACCATGTCTTTTGTCTTATTCTATTCTATTTTATTGTATTTTTATTTTCCTTATTAGACTAATAAAGGTCATTGTTTATTACAAAAACTTGGTTGGAAACCTGGTGATAAATTAGGCCGAAATAATCAAGGTCTAATCACACCGATTCATTGTATTAAAAACTAATCATTGATCATCATTCATATGAGAATAATGCCATTGCCTTACTTATTAGATGAGATGATGATACATGTGATGATCGATATTCATGCTGGTTACTTATACATGCGACAACATGTCCATCTGTTGTGAGATATGATCAGATATAACGGTCTACTTCTACTACATGGTCGATTGGTCGATTGGTTAGTGAAAATACCAAGAAGACATCACCATGATTTATCGATGTAAACATTGTTTTTTTTTCATTGTACTAATGTTTTCTTCCAACTTTACATTAACAAACAAACAAACGAAAAACATTAATCTGTGATGTATGTTTGGTTTGATTTACTCTCTCTCGTGTTTTGTTTTTTTTTGCGAAAAAGAAAACCGGTAAATTCAAATTTACAATGATGCATAAATTTGCTTGTACAAAAATGATTTTTGTTTTAATGTTGATGATGATGATGATGATATTTTATTGTTTTAATCAATGCACAAAATTTTCTCTAAACACTGACTATAGGATACCACTATAACTGATTCGAATGTGTTCTCTAACGCATAAACAACTCAAGATCAGATGAAATATATGTGTATATATAGATTTACAGAAGACTGTTTATTGACAAACTATATGGTGTGCATAGTCTTTGAGCATCCTGTTGTGTGCAGTCGATTGATTGTCCTCCTCAATCATATCTATCTATCTATTCTTCTCTTTGAAATACTCTGATCATCCTATGCATTTCAATCTTGTGACACTCCTCTCTCTCTGATAGCAACTTTTAGGTGAGACTCTCCATGACATACTACTTGTAAACCCTTTTTGTGATGACCATCTACCTCACTAACTTACTTACTTACTCTTGTTACCCGACAATGGAGCATAAGCCGCCCACCAGTTTTCTCCAACCAACTCTATACCGGGCATCCCTTTTCAATTCTGTCCAATTTGTATTCATTCTTCTCATATCTTTCTCTATTTCTCGGCGTAATGTGTTTGTTCTTTGGCCTTCATTCTTTTTCTTTCACCTTGAGGGTTCCATGTGAGGAGGGCTTGTCTTGTGATGCAGTTAGGTGCTTTTCGCAGTGATGGCCATCTACCTACCACACAATTATTTTGTAATATTATTCTGTTTATATTAAAAATTTATTTTTCAAATTATATTTAAAATTATAAATTATATGCAATATATTGAAAAAGAATTTTCTTTTCTCTTTTACATTGATTAATTTGATGATAATTTGGCGTTTGTTGTTTCTGTTAGGAGGGAAAAAAAAGAAAATCTATGACATCATTATTACTGATAGTAGTTGTCAATTATAAATCACGATCGAATCATTGTTACCCGACCGTAGCGCTGCTACCGTGACGTGGTGGTCGGGCTTACCTATCGTGATGACCCAACCGAGCTATATTGGCTGGAAAATATGTTCCTGAAGGTTCTACCATGCCAGGCAGGCACGTCGATTGGAGAACAATGAGACTAAAAGCAGCTACTCAAGTAGGTTTGAGGGCGAAGTCGTACTACTGACTGACTATGATGGAGGGGTGTGACAACAGTAAGGTGTTTCCCTCGAACAACCAGCATCTGCAGCGATGCTGCCTCCTCACAAGGAAGGAAGGGTTAGAAAAGGTCGACCCTAAAGATGCCACACCTCACCCTACCTCACAGATTTCCGTCTCCGGTGGTAAGGGTGCCCACTAAGGGCTTTTAAGAGCGGAGCTAACACTCAAAACGCCTTTCATAAAAAGGCCGTGCTTCACCGGCCTCAAGCCGTTGTCCCTTGGACTCTGCGGTTACGCTCCCAGGTCTCCAAGACCAACACTAATCTATCTTCCTTTTCAGGTCCCTCAAGAAACACCCTTCCACGGTGTGGACAGCCGGTAAGTGACAACCGCCCTCATACCCGTAACTGAATGATTGTTAGATAGATCACTACTAAAAAAACCTGGAAGCATTAGATATCCATCTTGTCCCTAGTATGTGACTTGTGAACAGTGCTCCATCATGGCCCTCGTTCACATGGACCGAATCCAGGACCATCGGTCTCGCGCGCGAACACCTGACCATTGACTCCGTCATCCAACGCGGTGTTAGTGTCTATCTTTCATCAATCTAAGGATTTCACGCGACCTCAATCTTCGACAGCAATTGCGTACACACGACGGACAGATACAACGTGGAACTTCGTACGTAAGTAAATAAGTTCAGGTTGCCATACCGCATTAGCACAGAGATAGTAGAAGTATTAACAGTGATAGAGAAGATTAGGGTTCGAAGATAATATTCAAGAAGTATAACTTTGGAAAAAGAAAGATACAGATGATGAGAAATTCCGAAGATTAGAATTTCGTAGAACACAAAGAGTGGGTGCCATTGCAAACCATTTTCATGAGCTATGTCGTTCATGGTCTCTAACCGTCATTTATTACGGTCTCGCAAACCCCAACCAGGTAGCCTACATCTACCAACATGACTCAATCCACTTGTCAGTGACTTCATGGATTTGTGCCATGCCACCACGAAGCATCGCTCGTCAAGGCAGTCGATGGTTAGGCATTCGTAACACATTGCTTATACGGTTGTCCCATGATACACGAGCAATGCTTCAGAAACACCTATGATCTAAGACAGCAATCGACGAATGTCCTTCACTCTCACCGGCTATGTTTTACTTCTGTATAGTAGGAAGGAGCGAACTGCTGCGCAGTACACCCGTCCTTTGGTTAGCAAACAGATATCTCACCTGCGCCATAGATGAAACATGTTGGCAAAAGCAAATCGAGCTTTCTGTATCCGAGCTGAGATTTCATCAGTCACCAGGCTATCAGCACTGATGCGACTCCCCAGATAAATGAAGCCGTCTACACACTCGACTACTGATGCAACACAATTTTGAAGCAACATTTTGCATTTCGAGGGGGAAAGCCGCATCCCGAACATGCTTGCATTGTTGCTTTAGGTAATCAGAAGATTGCATTTTGTCGGTCGCTTCACCGAATAAGACTACGCACGACAGCTCAGGTCTTCTCACTGGAACGCCGATTCAGTAATCTAGAGGTCAAGTGTGATCTTACTTCAATCTATCAATGATCGATTCATGATTTCAATAAAACTCAGTAGTTTTCACAACTCTATAATGAAAATCGCATAAAGGTGCTTACTGACTAGCCTCATGATAAAGTCCTCGTATTTCTAGTGAGAAGTGGTGATCAGTCAGTTATTAACAGGATTGCATGCCGGCTCAGTGGTCTAGAGGTTAAACGTTTGCAGCGGAGACCCAAGCTCCCGGATTCGATCATCGTGCATCTGCTCTGCGCTGAGTCCTTCCTTACTTCCATTCCTACTCCTATTATCATTTTGACTTGTTTAGTCTGCCTTCTATGACGATACACATATATATGAGACTCTCCAATGATTAGACATTACTAAGGAGTAACTTGCTTTAATTTCGTAATAAGCATACATGTATGTGATGAATACAAGTGACTATTCTTCTTAACAGTGTATATGTAATTATTGTATTCTTTGTCTCTCTCTCTTTATCAATCAATCTACCATTGTCTTAAGCATATCTTGTTCATCTACATTATTCAATCAATGTAAGGTAAATTATAGTCAATCAATCTATGATGAACGAATTTATAGATAATTTCATTGAAATCATGAATCGAGCAGTGTTAGACCACTATTAGAAACCTGGATAGCCGTCTTGTCCTAATATGGCACTTATTAGCATTGCGCACCTATGACAATGAGGGTGGGGAACCGGCCCCGGGACCTTTGTCCACATGCGCGAATGGTTAACCTCTAGCCCACTGACTGAGCCGGCATTCAATGCTAATGTCTAACAATCATCAATTCAATGAAACGCATCAATCTTCATGATTCTATGAAAATTTACTGACTAATGACTAACTTGGAGAAATTCTCTGAGAGGCCGTGATCGGTGCAGTTCAACCGTGTCGGTGTGAGGCCGTTACCCACTGAAGACAATGAGTGAGATTGCGCAAAACCTTAGATCGATCAAAGTTAGACATTAACACCTTTGGATACCGGCTCAGTGATCTGGAGGTTACACGTGAGACCAAGGCCCCTGCGTTCGGGGGTCACAGATGCGTACTGCTAATGGGTTCCATGTTATGGTGAAACGACCGTCCAGTGCGTAGTAGGAAGTTTCTAATGTTGGTCTAACAATGATCGATTGGTGATTTCAATCAAACTCAAAAATCTTCACGAGCCTATAATGGGAATCATGCAGATAATTATTTCAAGTATTGCTATGATCGACACTTGATATGCTTGAAACTATTACGAGTTTACGTTAGTCGATGAACGAGACAATGACCCAGTGACACGGTAGGCTACTCTGATCCGATCGCCCCGTCTAACTGAAGAAAAATGTCTTCATATGGCGTAGAAAGTCTGTTCTTCAAACACCAAGTAAACACAATGATCTCAAACACACAAATCGCGTTTATTCATACATCATAGTAACGCCCTCGGGAGAGTCATAAAAATAGCATACTAAAATAATACATCAACCAATCACAGTCAAGGGTTTTCCTTGTGGAAATGTGATCTCAAGGTCAACTGATGAACCCATGAATAAAATCCAAAATCAAGACATTTATCAGGCGAGTGCTGGGGATCTAATATCCTTAACACCCCTCCCCTTTTCAATAGCGTGCGCTCCTGATGTGGACTTGCATCTTAACTGTTTTTCGCTGCCGTCTGAGAGGATACCTTCTGGAACAGAGATCAGCTTGATGCTGAGTTACTTCTCGTGGTGGGGCTGCCGGTAGGTTGAAGGTATCTAGCAGGATGTCAAGGGGGAGATTTGTTACTGATGATGGACGATCTGGGGCTAGCCGTTTGCGTATCTGATTTCGATCACCTCTTACCTCTACTTCGTACATAACACTCCCAAATCTTCTGACTACTCGCGCTTTTGTCCGACGACCATTATTTGTTCTGTAGTCATCCCACTTCGTACTTGGATTGGCTTTCCAACTT